GAGACCCCGATACCGACTACGGCTGCAGGACAGCCGGTAGGAAGTGACCCGGGGAGGGAGTTGTACCTCCCACCCTTATGAGGGCAATGTGTTTTGGTGGGATTCCCTGCTGACCCTGTGGTGGACTGCTCTGCCACTGTTAGGACCCTGGGTCGGGGCCCAGTGGAGTCAGGTGGGCCTGGGCCCCCCTACTGGGGGATGCCACCCCCTTGTGATGGCCCCCAAGCACTGGCCACTAGGCCACCCTACCCTGCCTCCAAAGGTGGCTGTATTGACTCTGGCTGCTAGGCTGGGCTATCCCACTAGGGGAAGGGGAATTAGGTGGACTCTGGGGCACATTGAATGGCCTCTGGCCGCTAGGCTGTGCTACCCCACTCGGGAAGAGGCAGTAGATGGACTCTGGCCATTGGGCCACACTGTGTTGACTACTGGGAGGGAGGGGGGGGCGTTTAGAAAATGGATGTAGGCGTAGAGAGGTGGGGTTACCTTAAGGGGACTGATGAGGTACTAAACCCCCCACAGTAACCTAACCCTCCCCTGGACTCCATTAAAAAGGTATGATCCTAGTTAAATTCCATCACAATATTGGCTATAACACTTATCCAACTGCCAAATCTAGTTTGTTAGATGTCAGCTTAAATTTAATCTAACTGGCATTTTGGCAACTTCATGAGCTCGCTCGCCGTTCACGTGTACATAGTAACTCCCCTGCACTCGCCCTTTGCCAGCCCCTTCAGCACCTCCCCTGGATGCTGTAACAGGTGCCCAGGCCCTCTAATGCGGGGCATCAACCTGGTGGGCAGGACTACAGGATGTGCTCTCTGAGGAGCTCCGGGATCAGGAGTGCAGGTGCCGGAGCTGCCGGGAGCCTGGGCCGGAGCTGGAGTTCGGCAGCAGGGCTGTCCTTTCAGCAGAGTCCCCATAGTAACGGAGTGGGTCAAGATAACATTCTATGTGCCGTCTGCTCATATTAGGGGAGCTGTGTGTCCAGAACCGCTTGTCAAAATGACCCAGTCACTGGCTTTCCTTTGATTACGCTCAGTCCCATTGTCCAGGAAATGGTTGAGGAGTGAGTCAGGATTACATACCCCTGGCTGCTTACTGGAGTCTTTCATCTTCCCTCTATTGAATCAGTGCTGATTTCCTTGACTGTACTCCGTCAGAAAAATCGAAGTCTGCCTGTGGATTTTAGAGCCTTTTTAAACCAGAAATTTTGGACACAGGGCCAAACATCCAACAGGAACCTCTGCAGAATGCAGAGGGAATACACAGGCGTAGACGGACTGAGAATTGAGACAAAATATATGGGCTTTGCAAAGGAAACTTCTCGGGAAGAAGCATGAATATGTGGCATGGTTAGATTGAGAGGTTCGGAGATCTGAATAAAGTTACATTTGGGCTGCCAATAGGATCACGTGTCAAAAGCACATGTGTGTAATAGCCTCTAGATTTTTTTCATTTTTTTAATGCATGTAAATGAAATTCCGTCTCTTCCCCAGACTGTTTACCCATTGGCCGAGGAGCGCGTCACCCTGCCAAAGCTCTGTGAACTGATGCACAAAGGTGTGTCTGTGCCCACAGG